ATTTTCAAAATAACTCAATGGTTTCCTGGAGCCTTTAAAGACTATCAATGCGTTGTTAGACTACATAGTTTAAATTTGCTTTAAGGGATATTATTAGTGGGGCCAGCATGTAGTGTAGTGGTTAAGGTGCTGGACCCCCCCCCCCACCTCCATGGCCAACTGCAATTCAAGTCCTGGACCTGGTGGTTGAACATTCACACAGAGCATATTGTGTGTGTGTGTGCCCAAGATCCTGAGAAAAGAATGAAAGAGAATGGACTGTGGCATGACCATCCTCCTGGGAGGTGATTTCTCACTTTCTGTCTCTCTGTCTCTCCAGAGAGTGCACATGCCCTATAGCAAACAAAACAAAACAAAACAAAACTCTTTTTATAAAAAAAAAGTAACTATGTGTCATTAAAATTTTTAAAAATTCAATTATTTATTTTTTAATTTCTTTTTTCCTTTCATCTCTTCTGAATGAAGAAACTTTATAAAGGTTTTAGGAAAAATTAAATTAAAATGTAAGTTTATTTTACGCCAAAAATGTTAGAAATCCATGCATAGTATTTCTTTTTTCAACAGAGAGTGTTACAAGTTTCCATCTGTCAAATGTTTCCTTCCCTTTGCATTTCACACCCACCCCCATATCCACTCTCTACCATGCACTCTCGCCCCTTAGAGTCTTTGGCATCTATTTCTATCCTCTCCACCATCACATCTTCAGATCTCTCAACCTCGGCCATGGAGTGTAAACACTCAGTATAAATTGAGTGGGGATATACAATGTGTATCTTTCAAAGTCTGGGTCACTTTTCCCAACTACTGCAGATTTTCTATATTCATCCATTTTTGAGTCAAAGATGGTAACTTTAAAACAACCTTTTCCCTTTTATTAAACCAAAGGGTATCTGTAGACACATGAGAGTAAGAGAGAGAGAGAAAACTCCCTTCTCCCTCTCCCGGCACATACACCATAGAGCCAACAGTTGAGTGTTGGGGTAGAAGTATTCATGATTACAGAAATTAATGTTTTTGAGAGAGAGAGATTTTTACTATAGGATGTGTGCATTCACTGGAGAGACAGAGAGACAGAAAGTAAGAAATCATGCCCCAGGGAGAATAGCCACTTTGTAATTCCTTCTCCTGCATCCTCCTCTTGGGATCTTGGGCACTCACACACCTGCGCCCAGTATGAGTTTTAAGTCACTGGGTCTGGAATTGTATTCCAACCACAGTCAACTACATGGGAGTCCAGTGACGTAATCATGATGCCATCTGCTGGTCCCCAGAAGTTAATTCTTTAAGAAGACAAATACCCTGATTAAAATGACTACCCTTAAAGAGAATGAACTTGGGAGTGACAGGTTGGATTCACTCTTCACCTCATTCTCCTGATCTCTGAAGTGAGACAATACGGCAATATCTTCTTTAAGGAGTTTTCCCCCTACAATTAAATAAGATAGCACAGAAAATAACTACTGACTATCAATTCTCTTTCATCCTTTCCTTTACAGTGCCAGCAAAAGTCGTTCTAATTTTAATACAGCCTGTTCTCTTTCTTTTCTTTTTTTTTTTCTCTTAGTAAGTCAGAGCACAAGTTTGATCTTGATATAGTGATTTAAAAGTATTCCAAGCATTTCAAAACATTTGGCTCCTTCTTTAATAATTACTGCAGGTACGGAGTGTTTTAGCTCTAGATGTTCTTCAAACATTTCAAGGGTATTTGAAGGAAAATATTCATGTTCAAGAAAGAAAAATACTTGGTCTTAATAAGAATGTTTCTTAAGGTTACAAAAGGAAGGCTATTTTCAGAGTATCCTCCTCTACTCCAGAAGGATCGAATAAACTAGCCCATTCTTTATCTTTCACTAGCTGTTCTAGGAATAGCTCCTTCTGTTGGGCAATATTTAGTTAGTTGTAAAGTTAATCCTAATACTAACTTCTTTTTTATTTTGTAAGAGATACTTTTCTATAAGGTGCAGGTGCTCGCTAGAGAGACAGAGAGAGACAGAGAGACAGAAAGTGAGAAATTACCCCCAGGAGGGATGGCAACACCACAATCCCGTCTCACTCTCCTCTTGGCATCCTAGGCACACATCTACACACACCCAGTGTGAGTTTTAAACTGCCAAGTCTGGGAATCGAACTGCAATCGACCATGTGGGAATCCAATGATGTAACCATTACACCATCTACTGGTCCCAATCCTAATACCAACTTCTACTAAACTAAGAAATTGAAGCCAAAGCTTGCCCAAGTTTCTACTAACAGCTTAGGAACTGGACCTTGATCACAGAGTCTTGGGTTGGTTTAAGGGGAAGCCGCCTCTTAGCATGGGAGGGAACACCTAGGACAAATTCCCTGGGGTTAGCCAAGCACATACGTAGGTCAGGCTTGATTTTAACCAGATCCCTAGAGACAGGAACTCTGTCTTACTTGTTTCTGTAATGTAAGTGCATGGTGGCCTATACATAGTGGGCTTTCAATAACTGTGTATTGGATGAATGAATGAAAGAAATTGGAACTAGGAGTTAAGCAATGGAAACCAGGGGCCAGCAATGGTGTGGTGGTTAAGGTGTTGGATTCCCACATGGTTGACCACAGTTTGAATACTGGACCTGGGAGCTTGCTTTCTCTCTGTCTGTCTGTCTGTCTCTCTCTGGTGAGCACATGTATCCTATAGCAAATTAAAAATTAATTAATTAATTAAAATAAAAAAGACTTGGAAGCCAGAAAGACTGAGTGAAAAGGCTAAAAACAGTAATAGGCATTAAAGTCTGGCTCTAGGAATAAGGAAAGCCAGAGAGACTACAAGCAGGCTCCTTACATCATGGTTCAACACAATGGTAGATTGTCAGGCAACAAACAAAGAAAACGTGTTTCAGGATTCTTGAGACAGCATGGTGTGGAGGAAGAAGTACTTCACTAAGCCCTCTGAAGTAGTGGTGAAAACCCTAAGGAGCCTGGCATGGGCATCACTGCCTGTTAGAGGCAAGGGAGGAAGGACTTTTTTTTGGAGAGATTTTTGCTATAGGGCGTGTGCTCGCCAGACAGACAGACAGAAAGTGAGAAATCACCCCCCAGGGGGGATGGCCATGCTGCAATCCCTTCTCCTCCATTCTAAGGGAGGAAGGACTTTAAGTCAGCCTCTTTATCTGTGTGTTTGTATCCTCAGATTCAACCGACTGCATACCCATGACTCTCATAAAATCCAGATGTCAGCCAAGTCTCACCTCCCTTAGAGATCTGATTCACTTGGCCTGAACTCTAATTCTCTGCCTGGGACAAGCCATGATTTCTGCAAACTGCAGTTTGTACCTTGTTTCCTCCTGCCTCTCTCAACCTCAATGCTATCCTCTCTCGGCTTTCGGCTGCCTCTGTGTGCAAACCCGTAAACAGCATGCCATGCTGCCTCTTCCCTCGTTTTAACTACAGCAAGCCCTTTTACAACTTGATAGACTTTATTCACACAGCAGCCCAGAGACATTCTGGCTCCTCTCTCCCTTCATCATTCTAGAGTTAGAAATGCAGTGGTCTCTCAGTACCTGCGGGGACTTGGTTCCCAGACCTCCTGCAGATATAAAAATCCTTGGACACTCAAGTCTCGTATACAAAATTGCATAGTTTTTGCATATACCATTTGCCCATCTGCCAGTCGACTTTAAATCATTTCTAGGTTACGTAAAATGCCTAAAACAATGTAAATGCTATGCAACTCATTGTGATATGCATTGCTTAGGAAATAATGACAAGAAAGGAGTTTGTACATGTTCAACACAGAAGCAAACAGTTCATATACGTACATAAAATGTATATGTTAGGGGCTAGCAGATGGTATAACTATTACATCTCTGGACTCCTGGTCCAAGTCCTGGACCCGGAGGCTTAAAACTCACACCGTCCACCTGTGTGGGGGTGCCCAGGATGCCAAGAGAAGAACGGAGGAGAAGAGATTGTGGCATGGCCATCCCCCCAGAGGGTGATTTCTTGCTTTCTATTTCTTTGTCTCTCTCTCTCTCTCTCTGGTGAGCACATGTGCCTTATAGCAAAATTCTTTCTAAAAAAATAAAAAGTTCTGAGAGGAAAAGAGAATGCCTGTTTAGAATGAGTCTTTTCACAGAGGGTCATTCTCCAATCAGGTACTGGCACTTAGTTTATTGAACTAACATCCACTGACTTTATTGTGTTCCTAAGTTTACAGCAGGCAAGGGAGATTCAAGTATCTATAATGATAATAATGCATGTAATACATGCACTAAGTTATCCACATTCATAAATGTGTATATACATATAGTATAAGCTTTTGCTTATGTGCATGTACTACGTGTGTGTATAAATGTGTGTATTAATATTAGTAATACTAGTTCTTTTTTCTCCAGGGTCTTATAAGCCAGCTAGTAGGATAGATAAGACAAGCTTACTAATAATATTAATGTAAAAAAATCTAGGTACCCCGAGATACAAAGGCACTATAAAAGCTCAAAAAAAAAAAGCAAAAGTTCTTTTAGGCTGGAAAGAACTCACGAAGGAAGTGGCTTTTGAATGAGTTCAGCCAGGAAGCATGAGCAGGATTTCAACAGGTAGAGGCTCCTGTGAGGGCATTTCAAGTGTCTGGGACAGCGAGAGTGAGGAAATGAAGACGAGAAAGGGCACACTGTTGGAGAAAACCATGCGGACCTGTTTGGGAACAGAGGGGACACGGTGTCTTTCTCCAAGTTCTCAACCTCCAGAGTCTGGTCACCAAATTATTTCTGTTTCTCGGAAAAACAAACAAGTTGCCAACTCTTTGGTCAATACATTGACCAACATTTAATAGTGGCTGAGCTCATTACTTACTCATGACTGATCTGGACCGGGCTTTCCTATTTCTGGCTCATTTCCCTGGTGTTCTGGGATAAGACAATTTTGCCTTAGACTTGTTACCCATGGAGCTTAAAGAGGATTGTGGACCAAAGCACTCCCTAAAGCACCCATTAAGGTTTTATAATGTTGACCAGTGTCTCCCAAATACAGTCTGGCATTCATCAAATATTTATTGAGTTTATTCATGAAATCTGAATATTCTTAGTTTATGTGGAGGACAGTGAATCCACTGAAGTTCCCAGTTTAGACAGAGAGCCAAAATAATGACTGCAATAGACCCTAAGACTAAACGACTTTTCAGGCTTCATTTGTCTCTGTCCTGGAGTTTTCAGATTTTCGGAGAGTATGCAGGGAAATCAATCCCTCTTCTTCATACTAAACAAAAGGCTCAGACCCACAGAAACTAGCTTTACTTTCACCAACCAAAAGCCAAGTGGTGTGTCTTGACGGCTGTAGAAATTCTGCTGGGGAAAACCAGTGGCGTATCAGAGCTGGTCTCCCCACTGATCTTCCATTCTGCCATCTGCACCAAATGAGCGGTTGTTCCTTTGGGCTTGCTGTTCATGCCAGGATTCAGTACATGTTGCCAAAAACTCCCAATCGAGCTGGCAGGTTGAGACCAGAGGGTAGCTCATTCTTCTTTGGGGAGATGTCACAACAACCTTCCAGCCAGAGCACCCGAGTTTCCCAGCCCAGACTTCTGAGCACTCATGTCCTGTCCCTGGAAAGCTTGAAGTTGGGCCTAGAGCCTTGTTTGTTTCGAGTTTATGTTCCGGTCTGAGCAGTGAAATCTGTTCAAAGTTCATACTGTTGGAACCAGAGCTTTTGTTTGATGAACTCAGACGGTCTGCGTTCCTGGAAGGGATTCCATCTGAAACCAAAATGAACAGCCCTTCTCTGCAGTGCATGCTTTGCTTTCAAAAGTTTCATTATTTTTAAGCCTTTCCCCGAGTTCCTTTTGATGTGGCTCTCTCTTGCCTGAAACCTTTTAACCGCACACGAGTGTAAGCTTCAGTAAATAGAATCAAAAAGCTTTCGTGTTGCCATATTTCAGACGTAATTTTTCATTCCTTCCAATATGGTTCCCTCTCGATCGCTGTGATAAGGTTGATCTCATTGGAGACAACAGATGGCGTAGCGGTTAAGGTGCTGGACTGCCAGATGGGCGATGGTGGTTTGAGTCTTGAACCAGGGACTAGAAAATGACGCTGGGAGCATATGTGTGCATGTTAAAAATTCCAAGAGGAGGGGGAACCAGCAGTTAGCGTAATGGCTATGTCACTGGACTCCCACATAGTCAACCGCGGTTCACGTCCCGGACCCGGTGGCTTAAAACTCACGCCGGGTGCATGTGCGTGCGTGCCCAAGATCCCGAGAGGAAAATGAAGAAGGGATTGCGGTGTGACCATCCCCTCTGGGGTGTGATTTCTTGCTTTCTGTCTCTATGTCTCTCTCTGTCTGGCAAGCGCACGCGCCCTATAGCGAAAACCTCTCAAAGGGGGAGGGGGTGGGGGGGATTTATCACTTTCCCTGTTTCTGTCTTTGTCTCTCCAGTGAACACATGTGTCCCATGGCAAAAGCTCTAAATAAATAAATATATAAATAAATAAAAAGTTGACCTCACTATACTTATTCAGCAAGTGTGAACTCTACCTTCTTTAAGTTTCCAAATGCTTTCTCCATTCTCCCTGTACCCTTGGGCATCTTTTCTGAAAGTGAGTCATTTAATCATGAGCTTCATGAACGCAGGATTTTCTTGCATGAATAAATGTTACCTAAGCACGAATCACCCATCATTCAAGAGATTTCAATTCAATGTATCTCAGCTCAGCTTAGTTCCAAGTTTTAACTTCTATAAACCAATAAAAGCTTATCAGAGAGGCCACACTTTTTGTTGACTCCACAGAGGTATTTGTTAGGGAAGTTCTACTATGACAACAGCTAGGGGGGTCACTGTTATTGGCCAGGCATGTAGACTTGGGGCTACAGAAAAGGGAGGACAGCCTTCAAGCTGAGAACACTTAATCCTAAATCAAGGCCTTGCTCTTTCTTACTGATTTTTCAACTTGAAGAATTTTTCAGATGTATGTGTTTCTGGGCCAGCAGGTGGCGTGGTGATTACAGGTGCTGAATTCCCGCATGGTTTGAGTCCCAGACTTGGTAGCTTGCTCTCTTGCTTTCCCTTTGTCTCTCTCTCTCTCTCTCTGTCTCTGTCTGGTCAAATTTAAAAATAATAATGATGATAACAAGTGGGATTAAATAAATAAATATTTTTTTTAAATGTATTTATTCCTTCCACAAGAGAGACAGACAGAGACAGAGATAGACATTTGTTGGGACAGGCACACACTCTGACAGGGTAATCAAGCCACAACCCATCCCCAGTCTTGGCCAGTCCAGATCATGACCACGTGTGCTCAGGGAGGTCCTGGGAGGAGAACTCAGTGCCTTCTCCACATGGGTCACTCTGTATGACTGCTATGTCACCACCTGACCCCTCAACGCTGCAGTTTCTGTGGGAAAGTGGAAAGGGGAGGCTGGTCTTTTGGAAAGGACAGTTAAATGCCAAAAATGGCAGGTGGTCAAGAAATGCAGTCTTTTCAGTGACAATGGATCATGCAGATGAAGACAGCACCACCTCCTGTGCGGTGACATTACTGCCTCCTACAAGTTCAGGACACAGCTGTGTCCCTAATGTGAGGCAAGCATGATTAAAATTGCACAGGAAAGCTAGGTCTCATTAATGGATGACCACGGAGGATGCAGGGTTGAGGAGGGTGTGATGCAGGGGTGACCGTAACTGGGTGAGAGAGGACAACGTCTCAAGTCAAATGACAGCCTGGATGGCCCTAAACGCTCACCTCACCATGTACACCTTTTTTCCCACACAGGTTAAGAGTATTTCTAGCTGCATGTTTTAAAGTGGTGCCTGTAAACTAGTGCAGTTTAAAGAACTATGAGAGCATGAGATAGAAAAACAAAATTCCTTGGAGATGGCCATACCTCAGAGCTCGTAATCCGATGTTCTGTGTTAAGAAGCCCGACAAATGGTAAAATTAGTTGTTATGCTCTTACCACTCATCACAGAAGACCACACTCCATTGGAAGTCCTAGGGAAATAATAGATTTTCATATCATGAAGGCCAGTATACTTTTAAAGAGCTTTTATATCTGCTTTTTCTTATTCTACAAAAAATTTTAAAAAAATATTCTCAGGCATTTCTGTTAAGATTCTGTTTATCAGACCTAAGCCTTTGTACATGTCAATTTTAGGGCCTTGCTCTCGAATTGTAATTTCAATAGATTTCGAGTCATTTTATTTTCTTTTCCAAATTTCATTATATTTTTAAAATTTTATTTATTATTATTATTATTATTTTCAATTTGCTATAGGGCACATATACTCACCAAAGAGAGCTAGACAATGAGAGAAAGAGAGGAAAAGTGAGAAAGCAAGCTATTAGGTCTGAAACTTGAATAGTGGTCAGCCATATGGGAGCCCGGTGCCTAAACCACCACGCCACCTGCTGGCCCCTAGAGTTACTTTCTTTCCCTTCCTTTTTCTTCTCTTTTCTTTCTTTCTCTCTCTCTCTCTCTCCTTTTTTTTTTTTTTTAAAGATGGGTTTATGTGCTCTCTGGAGAGACAGAGAGATAGAAAGTGAGAAATCACCCCCAGGAGGAATGGTCACCCTATAATCCCTTCTCCGCCATCCTTCTCTTAGGATTTTGGGCATGCGCACACACACACCAGCATGTTTCAAGCTGCTGGGTCTGGGACTTGAACCACAGTCACCCATATGGGAGGGAGTCCAGCACCTTAACCACTTTACTACTTGTGGGCCCTGAGTCTTTTGCTTAATGAAAACCACATGGTCTGGATACTTGGCACCAGAGCAGTAGGTTCCGGGGCTCAATTCTCTCTTCCTTGCCCCGTTTTGACTTCCTCAAGAGGCTGCAGCTTCTCTGGTCAGATGACCTGTCTTGCCTTCCTCCTGGAGTTCAGGGCTCATCCTGGCTCGTCTGCAGCCAAGGAGACAGTGCTGAGCATCTGCCCTTCTCTCATAGCACAGGTCATTCCATCATGGCCCTAGTTCAGGCTTAGAGCCACCAATTATGACTCAAGAGTCACCTTAGGATCATTCCAACTCAGTTAATGCCATTCTTATTGCAATGGAGACCCATGGCACTGTTGGACATCCATGTGACAAGTCTGCACTCTTATCCTGGATATTATGGAAGGAGAGTTCACTGTGAACATCCTGGGTCTAGGCCTCTCCCATTGCATCTTCCTTACCATTCCCATTTCGATTACCCTGAAAGAGACGTCTCAAACCTATTTATCTGCGGCTTTTGGTTCTTAATTCTAAACCATGCAAATTCATACAGGGAGCTTGCACACCCACGATCCAGGTCAGTTGAGACTGGAGTGGGCGAGTTGGGTCCTTCCCTTTCTCTCTCTTCTTTCTGTCTCTTTCTCTCATGAATAAAGCGATGTCCTAGGACTCTATAACCATAAAAAGGTTGGATTCAACCTAACTTACTGATTTGTTTGCCACCCAAGCAATTCTCTGCTAGGAAGCAAGATGGCGGCACTGATACCTGCCTCGCAGCTTCTCCGGAGCTGATGTTGAACATACATCTTCAAATTGTAGTTAGCAGTACAGGAAGTGGCAATTTAAGCTCAAGTCAAGGATATTCTCAGAAAAAAATGAGTTTCCAGCCTTCCTGCCCCATTCAATGATTTACCCTGGGAAGTTGGCAAATACCACTTTTCCCAGGATCATTTACTTCACCTAAGCATTTACTATTAGGCCAGTTTGGTGTGGAAATGGAAAGACCCTCATACCTGGGAATTTACAGTCACTTGAATAACATTCTTCTTGTTTTTGCAGTTTAGTTCAATGACCTCTAGGTGGTGATAAAGGTTCCAACCAATTTTTATGATCTGAAGGAGCAGCTAGTCCTCAGATTGCTCTACAGGGTCTTAAAGAGTGAATTGGACCTCCATTTACAGCACTATTCACAAGACAGTTGGAGTCGATTCACCTCCTCATGGTTTCACAATGACTCCCCCGCCCCCCGCCCCATGCACATGCTCAGTAAAAGGTGGTTGTGTATTGACAAGAAACTCTGAAAGCCGAGCAAGGTATTGAAATCAAGGCTTAGGAAACGCCTCTTTTAGTTTCAGCCTAACTTGAAATTTTAGCACAGCATATTTCAAAACAAATTCAGATATCTTTAAGTTTTGATTTGTTTATAATGAACAAAATATGATTTCCTGTGTTGAATGGAAAGGTATTTGGTCATCAGTTCTCAGTAACCAGGCATCAGCCTGATAGAAAAAGAAAACAAGCATATGGGTTAGATTTCCTACACAACACACTTTCTGTATGTATGTAAGTATGTATGTATGTATTTACTTTAAGAGGAAAACATACTTGGTAAGAATCTCTCAGGCTCAAAAGTTGAGTCTTGCAAAGACACAGGTGACAACAGTAATTCCTGAACATCTGTGTTCCAATTTGTTCTTAAACTTTAACTTACAAAAAGAATATACACATGGGACCAGCAGATGGTGCAATGATTACGTTGCTGGACTCTCACATAGTTGATCGCTATTCAGGTCCTGGACCCAGCGTCTAAAACTCACACCAGGCACATGTGCGTGCATGACCCAAATCCCAAGAGGAGAATGGAGGAGAAGAGATTGTGGCATGGCCATCCTCCCTGGAGGGTGATTTCTCGCTTTCTGTCTTTCTGTCTCTCTGGTGAGCACATGCACCCTATAGCAAAAATCTCTAAGAAAACAAACAAACAAAAAGAATATATACAATAAGCTCTGTCTTGCTGGACTTCAGCCTCTTCCAAAACATCAATTCCCAAATGCAAGCCCTAGAGACACTGTGAAGATCTGCAGATGTTTTTTTTTTCCCCCATTCATTTCTTACTTGGGTGACTCAAGTCACCAGACTCTAAATAGCACTCTCAGTGAATTGAAATCTACTTGCTAGGGAAAACCTTGCTCAGGGCTTTTGATGAAGACTTCGATTCACCCTCAGAGTTTACACCGTAACTATTGGTTTTTTCCTGCTCTTATTTCTTGACGTAACTAGACTGCAGCAAGATGTATTCATTTCAGCCAAGCTTATTACACAAAGCAACAGTTGTAGCTGAATTCTTCTGTGCAGGGCAAGCACTAGTCGTATGGCTAAGTTGGGTAAGTCATTCCATAGATGTTTATTGGGCGTGTGCTACGTGCAAGCCACCCTGCTGGCATATGGCAGCCAGGCTGCTGTTACCCACACATAGCTATAACAATCCTTTCAAATTTCATCTCTTCCTCTCAGTCTTCTGCCTCTTTAATTTCAGTGTTCTAACTAAATCTCCTTACTATTCGTGGGAGGAGGGGTTATAATATTTGCCCTCCTGTTGAATTTAGACCTGGTAGCTTCTTGTCCCATTTAGTCTTTAATCCTGATTCTGTGTGTGTTCTGTTTATTTAGGATATGTATGTGTGTGACTATTTGCGTATGTATGTATGTGTGTGTGTGTGTGTGTGTGTGTGTGTCTTAGAAATCGCCCTGCCCTTCTCCAGTTCTGTACTTCACAGGGGAGACTCTCTTTGAACCTCTGGCTGTAACTGGGACCAGTCACCGGTATGAGAAACTGCATCACAAGCTTAGGAGAGGAAGTGGAAGACTTAGAACTCAGTGCACTTTTTCATATGTTGTTTCATCTATTGTCAGAGCAAGGGAGGTCACATCAGTGAAGAGATCGTGGACTTTGAAATCAGCAAAATCGAGCTGGAATCCTGATTAAGCTACCTACTAATCTGTTAACTCTGGGCAAGTTATACAAGTATAGGAGATTCTTGGCCAATAAATGGGTTTTTCACAACAGCCTGATTTCCAGTTGTCATATGAAGGGTCCTGTGAGGTGACATTCATCAGGGCTTAGGAGACACTTGATTTTGTTTTTATTCTCTCTGTTTTCTATTTTTAATGAGGAAAAGTGGGGAATATGATATAGTTTCAATATGTTGTATTGGGAACCAGCAGATGGCGTAACGGTTATGTTGCTGGACTCTCATGTAGTTGACCATGGGTTTGTGTCCCGAATCCAGAAGCCTAAAACTCACCCAAGCACATATGCATGCGTGCCCAAAAATCCCAAGAGAAGAATGAAGAAGAAGGGATTGCAGTGTGGCCATCTCTCCTAGGGGGTGATTTCTTGCTTTCTGTCTCTCTGTCTCTCTGGGGAGTGGATGTGCCCTATAGCAGAAAAAAAAATCTCTCTAATAAAAAAATATATTTTTAAATGTATTGGGTCGTCAGAAAAGTCACAACATATTTTTCTATGATTTTCTATGCAAAAATACATCATGATTTTCCTGATGGTCCAATATATGTTCTATAAATCTATAATCTACATCTCTAGCAAGACTATATAAAGCTCAATGTTATATTTCAACCATTTCAGTAAAACTTGACTCCAGCATATTTCTACTGACATGGAAATAAATTTAGGTTAATTCTAGTTTCTGTTGTTGCCTGAGGGGGTACAACTTCACACACATATCCTCAGGATAAAGTGACTCATTCTCAACAATGTTCAGCTGTGTCCTTTTGAACAGAAACATGAATGCGTTTTTGTAAGAGAAACCAGATGTAGTTATTCTTATTCAACTTATAAGATTCTGAGGCTATCATTTTTAAAAGAACATATTCCCTTGGCTTAGAAAAATTAACTGAAAACTTTTAGGTCTTATATCTTAAATAATCTTAAAAATGACAATAATATTTCAAGCAGAGTATTTTTTTCTTTCTCCCTAGCCTGTAGTTTTGAAAGTCTCCAAAAAGGTAAACATGAGGTATGGATTATTCCCCAGAATAGGGTAGAGATGGGGACTGAGGAGATATGGGTGAAGATTACAAAGATTTAGGTAGGTGGGAGGAATAGATCTATTGCACAGGGCCAGCCCTGTAGCTCAGCAGGTGAGGGAGCTGGATCTTACGTGACTGATTGTGATTCGAATCCCAAACCCGGTGGCTTGAAAAATACATGAGGCACACGTGTGTGTGCATGCCCAAAATCCTGACAGGAAGAGGGAGTGGAGGGCAAAGGACTGCAACGTCACCACACCACACTGGAGGAACCTCTCTGTCTCTATTTCTCTCTCTCTCTCTCATTGTTACAGAAAAACAGAAGCTGAGGAATGGAAACATCACTAAGGAGAGAAAGGAGAACCCTTTTATTACCCCAGTGGGCACGGAGGAGTTAACACTCTGAATCTCTGCCCCAACTGGGGGTTGGACATGGTCTTTTATAGGGGGGTTTGAGAGGGGAGGTCTCAGGGAAAGGGCTCAGAGCCTGCCCTAAAATGGAAGTAGCAGAGAAATAGGAAGTCTAACCTGTTCAAAGTTTCAGGTTACCTTGTAGCTTGGGGGAGGAACAGTAAGTTTGCTGGAGGGCAGAAACCGCAGGCAGCTATCAGCTCTGAGTTATTCATGAATTCAGGGTCTCTCCATATCATGATGAGCACTCAGGTCCTCTGGTAATTAAAATGTAGCAAGATCTATTGCATAGATGGTGACCATAGTTAAAAACAATTGTCTAGTTCATACAAAAAATGATAAGTAGGTGAGATGATAATTGTTAATTAGCTTGATAGAATCATTCTAGAATACACACATAAATCAAAACATCACATTGTACCCCATAATTACGTATAATTATCATTTGTCAATTATAAAAAAGAACGAGGCAAAAATGACCAACATCGAAGACATTTGCTTTCCAGGTCATGGGCTGCTCTTACTACTCCTTTCTATACCTTTCATTCTGCTTTTACATTTTCCATTCCCTTCTGTGTCTCATATACCAGCTCCTCAAATCTTATCTTTTTCTTTAAAAAAGAAACAAACAAACAAACAAACAAAAAACCCCTACAAATCCAGGAGTTGCTTAATCTGTGGCTCTGTCCCCCCAGCTTTCTCCCCTGACAAAACCTGTGACTTATTCTATTTCAACTCTGCCATATTCAGAGAAGCTATGGCAGACTGATTCACCTTAATGACTCAAACAATGTACTCTTCATCCCTTGGAGGTGGGGAAGAGGAGGAGAGGCTGGGACCTAATGTAGACTGAGGCTAGATGTGTGCTCTCATTTCATCTTGACAGAGACCACATGAAACACACAGTATTTCAATGTCCTTATCTCAGATGAGACATTTGATGCTTTGAGGAGCAAAGTTGTCCAAACAAGAAAAGTCATCGAGCAAAGCCACTGCCTGCCCCTGTACTTCCTGAGGGGGTTTGCATTTACCTGGAGGCAAAGGTCTTGAGAAAGAACAGTTCAGGGCAACCCATGGCACTCCAGGTCAGATAAAATCCCCTGGAGATATGAACTTCTGGGTTTTAGTTACTCCCATGCCTCTGGGGGTTATTGCCCCCCAAACTCAGTTTACGGCAAGCAAACTGAGCTGCCAACCATTACAGTGTGAGCCCCACCCCTTCTTCTTACAATGCTCTTGATTGCATGATGTAAATAATGCACAGCCAATAAGGCACCTGCTTTATTTTAAATGGACCAATGTAGACTCTCCATTCATAACTTGCACTCTCCCCTCTTCTTGCCCTCTGGGCAACCCTTTCAGTGTGTACATTCTAGGCCTCTAGAATCTGTGTCACCTGGGTGACAGCCTGTGATACCCTACGCCCATGGCTCAAATGAGCTTTTTTTTTCTCCACTTACTGTGCCTTACTGTGCCTTCCTTTGACTGTGAAGATCAGGGAGCCCCCAGCACAATAGCAGGTGGAGTAGAGCTCACACTTCCTTGGTAGAAACCCAAATATTGCAGTGTCTTCCCTATTCTTATTGAAGAGGCATCCTTTGTTTTAGAAGTGCCATGGATGCTGGAGTCCTTGGCCTGCTATTGCTTTACTTTACTTGAGAATATTTAAGCTTTGTGCAACCCAGTGGGGTGCACCTGAGAGTGAGTGGAGACACAGGGTGTTAAGGAAGATAAGGAGAAAGAACAGAGTCTCCAGGGTAGGCTCCTTGAGACACCTCAACCTGCTGTGATGTGGGCAGAACAGAAGGTTCTCAAGTACTCTCGGGAAAGCACCTCTTCCAGGTGCTACTCCAGGCTCTCCACACCAGACCTTGCTTTAAAAAGGAGGTAAACATATCTCTCTAGAGTTTTCCACAAATGAACTGACAATAGGTCCATATAGGGTAGGGA